GTTTTACATTTAGATGAGCCAAGCAGGGGATTTGTTATATTCCAGGTTAATCCAGAAGGTACCCAAACGACATTGATCCTTAGACCATGTGTTTATAAATACTGGAATCTGAATACCCAGGATTTGAGACATAACAAGGTTTTACAAATACTAGGCCCCAAACGGCCCATAAGGGTGAAATAGTGGGAAAGATAGGGAGTTGATAATCTTTTTGGTGCATTGTAATGCGAGGAGTCGAGGACAGTTTTCTTTAAGTCTGTGGATGCCTCTTATCAATTTCTTGATATTTTCTCAATTTAATATGATATCTCATGTTGTTTTCTGATTTCTCCATTATTCAATTTTTAACTGAATGGTAAGACTGATTTGGTGGGGACACTCCCAACCTTCAGAAATCTTCATTTATATCCTACGCCAAACTTGCAGTGTAATTGGTGTGAGAAGAGTTGGAGTGTGTTCCAACTCATCCATATGGATAGGCGAAACAGGTTGAAGCATAAGAGACTTAATGACTCAGTCTTTGTGCAATACAACTTGAGGCCGAGAAAAATGCAAATAGGCTCTCATATTATTTTTCCATCATGTATGCAATTATTGTATGCATTATACTTGTATGGATCTTAGTTCTTGGTTCTTTCATATTAAAGTTTAAGCTAGAGAAATAATATGAACTGTGGGACCACTCCACGAGCCACATGCTCAGACCAATTGACTCGGAGAAGCACCCAGTTCCTGAAGGCACTGCAGAACAATGAATGAAGATGGAAACGGAACCACCACAAGGAATTAAATTTAAAGTTTTAAGCACTTGATTTATATTGCTAGTAAATAATGACATATTTAGTAATATAAAATCTTTCTCAATTGTGGTGAAAATGATGATTCAGTTTTTTTCTTAAAAAAAAATCGATGGGGAGGATCGTCCACCCTTTATCCCAGTCCAGATTAGCTAGATCGGTGATTCGGATCATTCTCGAATTGTCTGAATAGGTGATCCAAAAAAAAACTAAAAATAAATGAAATAAAATTAAAATTAATATAGAGCTTTATGAGATGGGAATTTAGGGGTCAATCACATACAACATTAGAAAAGGGGGTTTTTCAAGGAGGAACCAGGCCGGGACCCATACCATTCCAGAACCGATTTAGTCCCTACCAAATCTGCATCCAAATTAATAACCCAGGTCAGAAATCCCCAGGTTTTAAAACACTGATTGGAAATCCCTGGGTTTTAATGGAGAGGATTGCAATGATGATGAGGAAGGTGGAAATGATGAGGAAGAAAAGAAGGAAATGAACGTGAAGATGAAGATTACATATAACTTGGATTCATTTGTTTTTGCATTTACTTGTATGTAATCATTTATGTAAAAAATCTAACTGTGTTTTAGACTGGTTTTTTTATGCCTTTATGGTTTACGAGTTTATGCGTTTGACTCTCTATTACGAGTCTATGACTTTATGAATGAGAGTAGAGAGTGCCAATATGGGGCATTTTAGTTTTAAATTATGGGTACTTGGATACGATCATTAGAATGTGTTTGATTTTAGAGAAATTTACATACGAACCATATTGAGGGGGGGGGGGAGGGTCAATTACAAAATGGGATCACGTTTGTCCAAAATTATGGGTGGCACCCCTCCACTCACGACGTTTTTTTTCCCCAAGTTACCCCCTATTTGGTAATGCGAACACCGGACAGGTGGGGTTTAAAGCAAAACAGTTATCCAGTGTTTGAAATACCGGACAACTATCTACAACTCTCTGCATCCACCAAGAACTCCCTTTCTCTCTCTCTATACATATCACGTATGGTTTCATGATTCATAGTGCCCCACTCTCTCTCTACCTTTCTCATACCCATTGACCCAGCCGCTCCATTCTCTCTGCCTTTCTCATACCCATTAACCTAGCCGCTCCACTCTCTCTCTCTCCCTTTCTCATACCCATTCACCCAGCCGCTCCACACTCTCTCTCTCTCTCTCCCTTTCTCACACCCATTCACCCAGCTGCTCCACTCTCTCTCTCTCTCTCTCTCTACTACTACC